TCTCTCTCTCTCTCTCTCTCTCACACACACACACACACACACACACACACACACACACACACACACACACGCACACACACACTTACACACACTTACACACACACACACACACATACACACATTTTTCCCTACCCGATCGCCTCTTTTCCTTCCTTCCTTCTCCTTGCCTCCCTTTCGCCTGTCCAATTTCATCTTTCAACTTGCGCCCTCCATCCTCACTCCTGATCTTCCCACCACCAATCCACTTTTCCCCATATTCTTATCTCCTTGTCCTATGTCTGTCGCTTCGTTTTCCTCCGATTGGATCCTCTTCGAGCTCCTCTTCTCCAATACTCGTTGTGGCCCCTGAGGATTCTAGTATGTCATTTCCTCTCGTCCTCAATCTGATGCTCTTTCTCTCTTCATTGCTCTCTCTTCATCACCTGCATATCCACATTTACCCTATCCCTCTTCGCCCCCCCTTTTAATTGCAGCGTAATCTTGACAAGTATCTGGCATTTTGCGTCCAGGTGCATTGTCTCCTGCAAAGTCAGCAGGCTTTGCAGACGTTTGGCAGAGTCTGTGGCGCAAAGTCTGACTGAATGTGCAGTGTCTGCTGTTTGAGTGTTTGAGCTGTCTCTTTTGGTTTGCCACGTTTGACCAGGAGAGCATCATCGATTGAGAGGATATTTTACTTCGATTGGATGATGAACTTGTTTGACTCTTCGGACTTTTTGGAAATGCCGTCTCATTGTGCGTACCCTGACCACACGTTTCCCAGTAGCTGTGTATGTTTAATTCAGATAGAGTGCTCGTCTGATCCTCCGAAGTTGGAAAGCCGAAAATTGGGAACCTATGTAAAGAAGTTGTGTGTTTTGAGTGCAGACTATCTTATCTAATCTCTGTGGACTGAACCTCTCATCGTGCATGGGATGTGTGTGTGGTGTCTTCGTATGGCCAATGGGATTGGCAGTCAGTGATTCAACAATGCTGTATACAATTGAAAGGGAAGTTAGTGCGGCAACAACAGGCGAGAGAAAGGCTGCAAAGGAAGAGGAACCTTGTCAAGTGAGTGTGCTCTCTGAACTACTCGCGATATCACCATTGATTGACCCTTTTTTTTCTGAGACCAAGTTGGTGCAATCCCGTGAGCTCTTAAACCATCACTAACCCCGCCGTCCTAAAGTAGGATTCCCGGAGAGTTAGGGAAACCGATGTCACACTTTCCTGCCAGCAGCTTGGTGCGGCGTGAACTGATTTAGGGCTGGTAAGAGGGCAGTTCATGGGGCTCACCTGAAGCATACGTTGTGTCCGTCTTTTGACAAGGTGTTGTCTCGCCTTTCTAACCCCAGGACTTGACTTGGTAGCAGAGGGTGATCTGATTCTTAGGCCATGCTCAATCCAATTGACAGATGTGTTGAGATACAATCTTGAGCACAGGACTAGAACTGCTGATGCAGAGGTTAAGAGTTCGATCTGTTAAGCTGCATAAGCCCTAAGGTTTCCTTTTGCGGTACAACATCTTGTGGGCTAGATGAACCTAATTGGCTGTACCTTCCGGTGTCCTTCTGAGAAGCTGATGACCTGAAAGGCTTAAAGCCTAAAACATATCTTGAGATCTTCGCTTTTGTTGCAGGCAACCCTTTCTTTTGTAATTTACTGACTTTATTTATGGGGAGCATTTGATACCCAGGTGTCAAGCTGCCAACAGCCATGATGATCTCTATTTAAATAGAGCACAATCTGTCAAGGAGTGGCATCAGCGGACATTCATTGGGAGATATACATTAAGTTGGGGGGGAAACCAATGGGCCTAGCCCAGTTGGTACATGAACTGTTGAAATACAGACCCGAGTTTGAATCCAGATGCAACCAGAGGAACAGACTAAAAAAAGAAGTCAGGGGGAGAGAGAGAGAGAGAGAGAGAGAGAGAGAGAGAGAGAGAGAGAGAGAGAGAGAGAGAGAGAGAGAGAGAGGCACAAACCTTTCAGAGAAGTAGACCCAGTTGTGCTCAACATGGATGCGTAACAAAGACCACTTGCCAAAAGGGGTACAAGAACAAGAAGGACACAACAGGGGTAGTGGCAGACTTTTTCATCGGACTTTTACGCACTGATTCAGAGGCTGAACCCCCAACAGTTGGCGGGGAATTTCATTTATGGCTGTACATTTTCAATGGATAATAACGACGTTTCCTTTTCATATGTGGGCTCCTGATGTATACGAGGGTTCTCCTACTTTTGTCACAGCTTTCTTTTCTATAACACCCGGCATTGATGTCTTGAGTCATAATCTCCTTTAACCCCTGTTATTGGCGGACAGTCAAACAGGTGACAACACAATCAGCAAGGCAAAGCAGACAGCGTCAAGATAGAGGGTAGGGAGGTGAGCAAGTGGGCAAACGTCAAAGCAGCAAACAAAGAAGTCAAGTAGCAGCCAGGCACTTGAGCCTGCAAGAAGGCGTGTGGCCAGCAAGGCGGGCGGCGAGGCGACCAAGCAAGCAAGCAGAGGCGGGCAGCATGGCAATACAAGACAAGCGGGGGCAAGGCGAAGTGAGGCAGCAGTAAAGCAGAGGGCGGGAAGGCAAGCACACGTTATGGCAGGAACGCTGGGAAAATAGTACAGCAGGATATGGCAAGTACAAGTGCAGCCAAGCAGCATGGCAGCACCAACACCGCAGTCCACACATACAGCACAGACCAAAGCAGATACATCGAGTATTTGAATTTCACTTGTAGGATTTTGAAGAATGAACTCATTACGTACTCACATCCAGATACAATTGGAACTCTACAAACTGTAGCTTCATGCCACCGTCAGAGTCATGGAGTCACTTCGATGAATTTCCGCGCTGGACGTTTTTAACACAGGTATGCTGAACAGAGCAGCCCCCCGAGTAGTGTTTCGTGTACAGACTATTTGGCACACCTTAAAGGTGCTGGAGTTAGACACTGGTTCTGTGTGGATGTGTTTGTGTGTTCAGATACCTTCCCAGTGTAACAAGGTTGATTCATGAAATTCTTGGCACTGTTGTGGAAGAGTGCAAGGCAAAAACGATGTGGCACAGTCTCTTGGAACGGGAGGCAATTGTTTCGTGCACCGACTATTTGACTTGTGTGAAAGGCACTGGAGTTGGGCACTGATTGTGTGTGTGTGTGTGTGTGTGTGTGTGTGTGTGTGTGTGTGTGTGTGTGTGTGTGTGTGTGTAGATACATTCCCAATGTAACAAGGGCTATTCATGAAGTTCTTGAGACTATTGTAGAAGAGCGCAAGGCGAAAAAGAGGCGTCACACTCTCTGGGAGCGAGAGGCAGACTTGCTTGACAACGTTCAAAAGGGGGATGTCACCGAGGGACTCTTGAGGCAGAAGCTTACTCAGCACGTAGAACAGGTGAGTGCAAGAGAACACTGGTGAAGAAACTGGCATGAGACACTGTGTGATGCGGTTGACAGTGAGTGGGACAGTGGAAGAGAATGTCAGTAATGACAAGATGGTGAAAGCGCAGAAGCGAAGAGGCATTTTGAGAATGGGCTTGTTTGGAATCCGGAACGAATATGGATACCTTCATGCATTCTCGAGTCCTTGGCACAAATTTGTAATTTCTCATGCATTTTGCTGTCAGCTGTCCGGTAGAGCTTAAAAGTTTGCCCTTTGGTTGTGTGGGTGTTGGCATGTATATAACTACCTTGCCCATTCATTAGTAGAATGCTGCTCTCATCAGAGTGTCGTGTCAGTACGTGGCTATTTGGCTATCTGACTATGTGGCTGTTTGCCTATTTGGCTATGTCGCTTTTCTTCATGAGGGCGTTGCTATGTGGCTTTTCTGGTCTAGAATTGAGCCTTGTGGTTTCTTCTTTATGAGAGTTTAGCTCTTGCACTTGGAAATCTAGTATTGTCCTCTTGCACTTGGAAATCTAGTATTGTCCTCTTGCACTTGGAAATCTAGTATTGTCGCTTTGTATTGTTAGTATTTGTTACTGACCTCGAGCAATATCATTGAAATGGGTGACGATTGGTTCTGCAGGTCGATACAGAAATGGCGCTCGAGTATGCTATGCAGACTGGAATGGCTGAGGCGACAAAAGAGTCTGTCTTCCTTCGTGCACTGGATAGCAAACGCTCGTTCGGGCCTGAGATTCATGGCCCCATTTTTGTCTTGCAGCTATTAACAGGATGTTAAAGCACCAGTACATGGGGAGGTGCGAAACGAAAATGCGACTGCCGATCGAAATTATCAACGGCGGGCCCAGCGTTTGACGTTTCGGCCTCGTTTTCTTGTGGCGACAAGTTTCGGACTGCGAGGCTGGGGCCGTGTACTCGTGGTTTAAGAAACATTAGATAAGTCTCAGGTTCGTCCCTCCCTACCCCCAACAGTTTTTTCTGTCTGCTTCTGTTCCCACTCTGAAATTGCCCTTGTCCATCACGCGTATGTTGCACTCACTCACAGGCAAAGCGTATATTGACAGTCAGCAAGCTTTGCGAGCTGCACCCACTGAGCCCTCTGCGGCGAAGCGTTGAGTTCTGTCCGTGGATCCTGACCGTAGGTTGCTTCCAATGCCTTCCATCCCAATGCAGACGATAGGAGATTTTGAGAGTCGCCATATGCGTGAGGTTTGGACGGAAGAGTTTATGTGTCTTTGTTATTTTCTTTCTTTTTTTTTTCTTTGGGTGCAACTTTTCTTCTACCAAGGCAGTTGTGCATATATGTGTACAGTATGTGGCTAAACGTATGTCCATTCTCGGTGTGGATCCTGACTGGATGTAGCTTCCATGACAGCACCTGGTACGAGATTTTGACCGTCCCCGGATACATGTGGTTTGGACAGAAGAGCGCGTGTATGTCTTCTTGTTCCTGAGAGGTTGTGCACACCTTTACGATATACGGCGAACGTATGTGCATGTGCTATGTTGGGTTCCACTTGGTCAGGTCTCAAGTGAGCGCCTGTTGTCTTCTACTAGCTTTTTGGTTCCATCGCTGATGCAGTTGAAATTTGCACTGGAGACTCTGGTGATTCTCGTATTCCAGTTAGCATAGCTCTTATGGCGAGCCTCGCCCGGGTTGACTCAGATTGGCCTGGGTGGCCCCGCCGGGGCCAGGTCCGGGCAATGTCTCTGTCAAGGTCCTGGGCAGTTCCAGTGCAAAAAACAGAAAAAGAAAAAAGAATCTGGAGAAAAAACTATGTCATGCAGAATTACAAATCAAATAGCCCGGGGGAAAAAAAATAACAACAGAATACTAAAATATATCACCCCTTTAAGCCCCTCTAAGCCCCTTTGAGCCCGTTTGAACCCCACTTGTACCCCATAGACACCCTTTGGTGAGACGTCACCAAATTCAAAGATGAGGCCAAATTCGGGCATATCTCAGTGGCTGCAAAATTGCCCAACTCAGCGCGACCTTGTGTGTATATCGCAACACGAAGTGACTTTTTTTTTTTTTTTAATTCCTTTCGTGCGTTGCACTTTCCACAGATATGGGTATTGGGGAGTAGAAAGAAGAAGAAGAAGAGAAAGGAGGAGGAGAAGAGGAGAAAGGTCGCAACACACGCACACACACACACACACACACACAC